GATGGATAGAACCAGAACAGGATAGCAAATATTCAATTATAGTATTAGGGTAAAGGTAAGAAACTACCAAAACAAGGACGATCTTAGCACTCTAACTACAAATTAATAAGACGAGTTGGAATAAAAAATGAAAATAATTATTTAGGAGGGGAAGAGCAAAGGGTCTAAATCAGTATTGGTCAAGTAGGTAAGAGACTACCAGAGAATAGACTATATTATACACGAGATTCTAAATACAAACTTCAAGGTAGACACTAAAATAAAGTACAGAACAGAGTCACAAATCATAAATAAGGAAAAATCTAAGAAACCCAGCATAAGAAACTGCAGTATTAAATGGGTAGTCTAAAGCAAACAGGAAAAGAAACACAGGAAAACAAGATAATGAGCAACAGATTAACAGCATTAAGTCCACATGCATCAATAATCACTCTCAATGTGAATGGATTGAACTCTCCAATAAAAAGACACAGAGTGGCAAAATGGATTAAAGAACACGATCCAAAAATTTGTTGCCTCCAGGAAAAATACCTCAGCCCCAAGGACAAACACAGACTCGGTGAAGGGGTGGAGGACAATACTTCAAGCAAATAGCAAGGAAAAAAAGGCAGGTGTTGCAATTCTCATATCAGACCAAGTGGATTTCAAAATAAGACAGGTAAAGAGAGACACAGAGGGACAATACATAATGATCAAAGGGACACTTCATCAAGAAGAAATAACGCTTATAAATATCTATGCACCCAACACAGGAGCACCAAGATTCATAAAGCAACTATTAACAGACCTAAAGGAAGATGTTAAAAACAACACAATAATAGTAGGGGACCTCAACACCCCACTCACATCAATGGACAGATCACCCAGACAGAAAATCAACAAGGAAATAGTGGAGCTAAATGAAAAACTAAAACAATTGGACTTAATAGACATATATAGATCACTCCACCCTGAAGGAGCTGAATACACATTCTTCTCAAGTGCACATGGAACATTCTCTAGGATAGACCATATGTTGGGAAACAAGGCAAGCCTCTACAAATTTAAAAAAATTGAAATAATAACAAGCATCTTCTGAGATCATAGTGCTATAAGGCTAGAAATTAATTACAAGAAAAAAGCTGAGAAAGGCACAAAGATGTGGAGACTAACACATTACTGAACAAGCAATGGATCATTGAAGAAATTAAAGAAGAAATTAAAAAATACCTGGAAACAAATGAAAATGATAGCATGCCATACCAACTCATATGGGATACAGCAAAAGCTGTATTAAGAGGAAAATTCATCCCAATACAGGCACATCTTAACAAACAAGAAAAATCCCAAATAAGCAACCTTAAAGCACACCTAACTGAACTACAGAAAAAAGAACAAATGAAGCCCAAAGTCAGCAGAAGGAGAGAAATAATAAAAATCACAGCGGAAATAAATACTATTGAAACGAAAAAGGCAGTAGAAAGGATCAATGAGACAAAGAGCTGGTTTTTTGAGAAGATAAATAAAATTGACAAACCACTAGCCAGACTTACAAAGAAAAAAAGGGAGAAAGCTCAAATAAACAAAATCAGAAATGAGCGAGGAGAAATAACAACAGACTCTGCAGAAATACAACAGATTATAAGAGAATACTACAAAAAACTATATGCCAACAGAATGGATAACCTAGAGGAAATGGATAAATTCTTGGACTCCTACAATCTCCCAAAGCTCACTCAAGAAGAGGCAGACAATCTGAACAGACCAATCACAAGGAAAGAGATTGAAACAGCAATCAAAAACATCCCAAAGAATAAAACCCCAGGACCAGATGGCTTTCCTGGGGAATTCTACCAAACTTTCAGAGAGGATTTAATACCTATCCTTTTCAAGCTATTCCAAAAAATTAGGGAAGATGGAACACTTCCTAACACATTCTATGAGGCCAACATCATGCTGATACCAAAACCTGACAAGGACACCATGAAAAAAGAGAACTACAGGCCAATATCGCTGATGAACATGGATGCAAAAATTCTAAACAAAATTTTGGCAACCAGAATTCAGCAATTCATCAAAAGAATCATACATCATGATCAGGTGGGATTCATACCAGGGACACAGGGATGGTTCAACATCCGCAAATCAATCAACGTGATAACACCATATCAACAAACTGAGGAATAAAAACCACATGATCATCTCAATAGATGCAGAGAAGGCATTTGACAAGATCCAACAGCCATTTATGATAAAAACTCTGAACAAAATGGGCATAGAAGGAAACTACCTCAACATAATAAAGGCCATATACGACAAACCCATAGCCAACATCATACTCAATGGGCAAAAACTGAACGCCATTCCCCTGAAAACAGGAATGAGACAAGGATGCCCTCTATCACCATTCTTATTTAACATAGTACTGGAGGTCCTGGCCAGAGCAATCAGGCAAGAAAAAGGAATAAAAGGAATCCAAATAAGGAGGGAAGAAGTGAAACTCTCGCTGTTTGCAGACAACATGATCTTATATATAGAAAACCCCAAAGAATCCATTGGAAAACTGTTAGAAGCAATCAACAACTACAGCAAAGTTGCAGGGTATAAAATCAATTTGCATAAATCAGTAGCATTTCTATACTCCAGTAATGAACCAACAGAAAAAGAACTCAAGAATACAATACCATTCACAATCGCAACAAAAAGAATAAAATACCTTGGGGTAAATTTAACTAAGGAAGTGAAGGACCTATATAATGAAAATTACAAGGCCTTTCTGAGAGAACTGGATGATGACATAAGGAGATGGAAAGACATTCCATGTACATGGATTGGAAGAATAAACATAGTTAAAATGTCCGTTCTACCTAAAGCAATCTACAGATTCAACGCCATCCCAATCAGAATCCCAATGACATTCTTTACAGAATTAGAACGAACAATCCTAAAATTCATATGGGGCAACAAAAGACCCCAAATTTCTAAAGCAATCCTGAGAAAAAAGAACAAAACGGGAGGCATCACAATCCCTGACTTCAAAACATACTACAAAGCTACAGTAATCAAAACAGCATGGTACTGGTACAAAAACAGGTGCACAGATCAATGGAACAGAATTGAAAGCCCAGAAATAAACCACACATCTATGGACAGCTTATCTTTGACAAAGGAGCTGAGGGCATACAATGGAGAAAAGAAAGTCTTTTCAACAAATGGTGCTGGGAAAACTGGAAAGCCACATGTAAAAGAATGAAAATTGACCATTCTTTTTCACCATTCACCAAAATAAACTCAAAATGGATCAAAGACCTAAAGGTGAGACCTGAAACCATAAGGCTTCTGGAAGAAAACGTAGGCAGTACACTCTTTGACATCAGTATTAAAAGGATCTTTTTGGACACCATGCCTTCTCAGAGAAGGGAAACAATAGAAAGAATAAACAAATGGGACTTCATCAGACTGAAGAGCTTCTTCAAGACAAATGAAAACAGGAATGAAACAAAAAAACAACCCACTAACTGGGAAAAAATATTTGCAAGTCATATATCTGACAAAGGCTTAATATCCATAATATATAAAGAACTCTCGCAACTCAACAACAAAACATCAAACAACCCAATCAAAAAATGGGCTGGAGACATGAACAGACATTTCTCCAAAGAAGATATACTGATGGCCAATAGGCACATGAAAAGATGCTCACCATCGCTGATCATCAGGGAAATGCAAATCAAAACTACACTAAGATATCACCTTACACCCGTTAGAATGGCAAAAATATCTAAAACTAATAGCAACAAATGTTGGAGAGGCTGCGGAGAAAAAGGAACCCTCATACACTGCTGGTGGGAATGCAAACTGGTGCAGCCACTATGGGAAACAGTATGGAGATTCCTCAAAAAATTAAAAATAGATCTACCATACGATCCAGCCATCCCACTACTGGGTATTTATCCAAAGAGCTTGAAGTCAGCAATCCCAAAAGTCCTATGCACCCCAATGTTCATTGCAGCATTATTTACAATAGCCAAGACGTGGAAGCAACCTAAGGGTCCAGCAACAGACGAATGGATAAAGAAGATGTGCTACATATATACAATGGAATACTACTCAGCTGCAAAACAGAACAAAATCATTCCATTTGCAATAACATGGATGAACCTTGAGAGAATTATGTTAAGTGAAATAAGCCAGCGAGAGAAGGATAATCTGTGTATGACTCCACTCATATGAGGAATTTAAAATTATGGACTAAGAACAGTTTAGTGGATACCAGGGGAAAGGTGGGGTGGGGGGGTGGGCACAAAGGGTGAAGTGGTGTACCCACAACATGACTGACAAACATTAATGTACAACTGAAATTTCACAAGATTGTAACCTATCAATAACTCAATAAAAAAAAAACCAGGATCTCAACATATTAGCATCTTATTAGGAATTAAAATTATGACATCATTTTCTTCCTAATCAGCATTAACTGCCACTATTCACCCAGGAGAGTTATCGGACAGAAATTTCGGAGCCCATAATCTACACTTTCTCTGTAATTCCAGGATCAGACAGAAAGAGGGAGAAGGTGAGACAACAAACAGACCCTGGCAGAGATGCAGCACTCACTGTGCAAAATTTGACTTTCCAGCAAGTGCATCTGTTCAAAACATAATTGAGAACAAGCCAGAAGCAAGAAAGGGTTCTACCTGCCAAAACAGATGTCACCAAGTCTGTACAGAGAAGATCACACAGGACCTATTTGCAACTACTTTCAACTCAGTTTAAACAAGTATGTTTCTAGGATTTCCAAGCAAACCGGGAGAGGGAAAAGGAGATGCCACCAGCAGGTGCAGCGACAGCAAAGGGAAATCAAAGCTGGCAGCCTGACCCCAAGAAAAGGGACCACAACAAGCAAACAAGAGAAAAAAAACCTATTAAAAAACAGACACCAGAGCTCAAGAAGCACAAGAGTTTGAGGTCACTGCATCCAGGATCTACCAGCCCTTCCTCTGAGCTCCAGACTTGCTTACCGTGCAGCTTGCAAACCGTGTCCTTCAGAACTCTGGAGATGGCAGAGAGCCTCAGACACAGCAACGAGAGAGCAGCGGGGAGGCGGCCAGCAGGCAGAAGGCAAAGCACGAGGCTCTGTCCCTCTGCAAAGGCCACCTTTCACCAAGGCAGCCTTTCTTCGTTCGGCTTTACTTATTGTGGCTTCCTTGATGAAAGGGCCCTGTGGGTAAAAAAAAAAAAATTTTTAATTAAAATTTGACTACCTCTGACTTCCACCCTCCAGGATCCTTAAATGCAACACATTCCAATGTAGAAGCAGAATCTACACCAGAAGCTGGGGAGAGGGCGGGATGAAGAGCGAGAGCACAGAGGACGTTCAGAGCAGTGAAACTATTCTATCTGATACTACAATGACAGACACACGTCATTATACATTTGTACAAACCCACAGAACAGAGAACACCAAGAGGGAGCCCTAATGTGAACTCTGGACTTTGGGTAATAATGATGTGTCAACGCAGGTTCATTGACTGTAACAAGTGAACCACTCTGGTGAGGATGTCCACAGTAGCAAAGGCTGTGCACGTATCGGGGCAGGCAATATGTGGGCACTCTCACCTTTAGCTCAACTTTTGCTTTGAATCTAAAATTGCTCTCAAAAATAAAGTTTATTAATTTTTAAAAAAAGAGAAAGAAAGGGAACCTACTAGCTTTCTGAAAACGCCATTTTTCTTCCTGCATTCCCTATTCGTGGCAGCACCACTCTAACCACGTGGCTAAGCTAGAAACCATGGGCCACCCTTGACTCAGAACCATCTCATGAAAATTCTATTCCTTGCTCTTCCTCAATCCCACATTCAATAGGTCACTAAATACTGAGGATGGGCCCTGCCACACACTTCTTAGCTATGTCCCATCCCAGACGTTCCCAATGAGTCTGTTCCACCCCAGGCAGCCGTAGGCTACTGTGCCTCCCCTCATCAGCCCACCTCCCAGAAAGCACTCTGCCTCTTGGGCTCCTCACGCAATGTCATTCCAAGTCCAGAGCTGATCCTGTCACACTCCTGAGTGACACACCTTGCTGTGACACTGCAGCCGAGTGGGACAGTACTACTTTCAGGGTTTGGGATTAAAAGCACTTTGTGCTTTACAATTTTTTCTCCAAATTTCTACTATGAGTATGTATTTATATATTCTACAGGAAAACGCCCCAGTAAATATCATGGGTGAGTATGATTTGATGCTTTTAACATCAATTCAAACCAGGCTCTTCACAATGCGGCCTCTTCAAACTACATTCCCCGCCCAATCACTTCTCGCTCCCTTTGCCCTTCATTCCCTCCCCTCTGCCCGGAAGGCCCGTGTGCAGTTACACCCTGCTCCTCCTTCAGGACAGAGCTGGAAGCCAGCTTCCTGGAACCTTCCCTGAGGCCCCCAGGCAGCAGCATTAATCAGCTCTCCTCAGCTCCTCTGGGCTTCCACAGTGCCCACCTTCACAATAGCACGGATCACAGTGGACTCATGTTTGTTACCTGTTTTCCACAGAGATGGTGAGATCCTTCCAAAGGCCACAGGCCAGGCCACAGAGTGGTCTGTTCCACCTCACACCAGGTCTGGCACACAATAAACGTGGCATGAATGAAAGTAAAATCCAGTTATCAATAACATTAACTATTGTATTATTAAACCTTACGCAATTAGTCTAACTTCTGACCTAAAGCCCACGGCTTTGCTCATGTGATACAACAAATTCCTCTGAAAGGCAGAATCATATAATGCATTCCCTCCTTCCTGTGCATTTAATAGTCTGCCCACTTAAGGTGATGTTATATAGAACACAAACCCATACTGGAATACTGCAAAGTGTTAAATGGCTATAAACAACACTATAAATGTTTTTTAAAATGACGTGTGGGCAATTTTTAAGGTTTTATTGATGTGTGTATGTTGTGGGAGGTTGAGTTTCCTGGCCAAAGGCTGCCTGAGGGATGGCGACTACAGACTGGTAGAGAAGAATCAGTCATAAACTGTGTTATGCTCTGCTGTTTGGAGAAGCTCAGATTTTTAATTGCCAAACATACTCCCAAAGCAGTGGAGCTGATGTGTCAAGCACTGTCTCCGCACTGTCTCCCCAGCTTCGCCAGGTGTTAATGTGGCATTTAGCAGTACCACACCACTTCAATGTGTCTTCACTCTCCTTCAAATACCCCTTCGATTATGTGAGTCTCCTGTTCAAACTCTTTAATATTCCTCTTTTGACCGCAGGTTAAAATTTAATAGTTCTCTTTTGCCTACAGATTAAAATCCAAATGGCTTGTCCTTCCTTCCACCTTACCGTAGAAAACACCCACCCATCTTAGGGAAGAGAAAGGGGTGGTTGAAGGAAGAAACTAAATTGATCAAGTATCAATGATGAAGCGCTCTGCTAGGTGCTGGGTATTTCAAGATAAGACATGGTCTCTTCTCTCTACCATATTACAGTCCACAGAGGGAGACGCAAATCTAAAGACATCGTTATCAGATAGGTGACAGATGCATTATTATAACCGCTATTAAAAGGGTCAGGGGAGGGGCTGGCCTGGTGGCTAGCAGTTAAGTGCACACGTTCCACTTCAGCAGCCCGGGATTCACTGGTTCGGATCCTAGGTGTGGACATGGCACCGCTTGGCAAGCCATGCTGTGGTAGGCGTCCCACATATAAAGCAGAGGAAGATGGGCACGGATGTTAGCTCAGGGCCAGTCTTCCCCAGCAAAAAGAGGAGGATTGGCAGCATATGTTAGCTCAGGGCTAATCTTCCTCAGGGAAAAAAAGGGGGGGGGGGGGTCAGGGGAGGTTCCCTGTGGGAGGGGCCATGCAAACTCACTCTCGAACAGTAGAGGAGAAGGGGAAAATCAGAGAAGCAGCGGCTCTCCCTCCTGATAGCTAAGGACATCTTCAGCATCCTTAAGTTCTCACAAGGACTTATTGCAAGAGTTTCTATTCCCATTATGCCTTCTACTTCACCTCTATTTAGAGTCCCAATCCCCAAATGGGACCATTCTAATTACAGGTATCCCTGCTTTTCGAAAGTTCCCTTTATGCCACTTCAATTTTATGAAACTCCTACATTAGCACCTGTTTTCACTAACTTAAAGAAATCTGAAGAGGATTTTCGCTTTTATCAAGAAAGGCGAAAAATGTTTCCACTTTACACCATTTCTGCTTACAAAAGTTTCCAGAGGAACACTCTACTTTTGGATAATGGGAGAAAACTGTACTTTTGTCAAGGGTGACTCAAAATTCATACACAGTAAAAATGGAATTCTAACCAGGAAAAATATACAGAAATCCAAATAGATGTCAATTTTTTTACATAAGGAATCTTACTATTGGATAAACATTTTGATATTTGCTTTCATGACTTTTCTCTCTCTAATTAGGCTATGAAATCCTGGAGAACAGGATTTTATTTTGTTCTGTTACTTTATTTTGTTATGTGGTCCCAAGGGCCTGGTTTGGGGCCTCATAAGCAGCATAGGTACAACCGGCACAGAGTATATATTGATTGAATAAAACACCTATATAAACCCCCAAAATTTATAAATCCTACTTTATAGAGCAATTACTACATCCACAACGTCACAATATTTTAAAACCCCAAAACATAATCAATATTTTGAAAAAAGTTAAAAGTGGGTATTTGCAATAAATCTAGACCAATAACAATAGAAAGGAGGTGCCACTCCTTTGAAACAACACCTAGGCACCAACTTGCCATTGTTTGCACATAGAGCAAACACCTAATGACAGCTTTGTGTAAACACACAATCAACCAATAAGCCCTAAGGGAAGCATTTTTGTACACAAAGGTTTGCCTTTGACAAACATCTGACCCAACTTCTGCTCCTAAAAACAAAATTCTGCTACCACTAGCAAATAGGGAAAGAATTATATAAATGCCTCAGCAAGTGAAAGAAAATCACGAGACCTAAAATCTTTTTAGTTGAATACATTTTCTCATCTTCCACATTCATTGGCTTCTAATAATTACTCATATTACTAATGATAATCACTCATATCATTAATCACTGGTAGTCCCGCTTTATGAACAAATTGTGCTCATTTCTGTGCGGTCGTTTGGAAACTGGAATTTCTCATAGAAACAATGTTCTGAGTGCTGATATAGTCCCTGGCCAGCCCACTTAGCTCCTAATCCCGGTGGTCTCTAATCTGCTCACACTAGCCCAAACAGGTGATGTCTACCCACCATCTGCCCACCTGCTTTCTGCAGCACCCCAGGGCCCAGGCTTAGGGGCCTCAAATCTTCACAACTGCCCTTAATGCACAAACTTTTAAACTGCCTACTCTTTCTCCTTCCTCCTCCAACCAAACTCCAATCTCTCCCGTGCGATTCTTAGCAAAGTAAAAAGCAAGATGAATGAATGGATTTATAATGAAGTGTGAATAACAGAAGTAGTCAAATATTCTACCATGGGATGGAAAACTGATGGAATCTGTGAATCCTTTTCCGAGTTATTTTCTGAAAAGTGTTACCACCAAGTCAGTTAAATTTAGATACAAGAATTCAGAAAGTAACTCCTAGCACTTCAGCTGAACTCTACCATCCATCAAACTCTCCTGTAAAAATATTTGCAAATCTGCTCTAAACCTTCCACAGCCCGCAAGTACTTAAAACAAAATCCTTCAAGGCTTTTGATAAACTGCCCCAATCTACGGTTCCAGGTCTGTCTCCTACCTTACCCATCTCACAATTACTGCATTTTGCAAAAACAAATTGAAACATACAGACACACATATGTGCATGTGCGCACGCGTGCGCGAGTGCGCACACACACACACACACACACACTAACTAAAGCAAATCTACATTGATCAGCTTCCAAACAGTTTAACAGATTAAAAGTGAAAAATAATAGGCTATATGGAAGAAGACATCCCTGGGTTAAAGCAGGGTTTGTGAAGGCACACAGCCCGCTCTACCTAGGGATGTGCTCTCAGGATCAGCGAGTTTAAGCAGCTGCTACCTCAGTGTTCACATTTTCACCGCTTCCAAACCCTAAGTTGTTTCAGAACCAATCCCCTATGTCATCAACACAGCTGGGTGGCCCCAAGAGCACATGTGCACTTTCCAGATGATTTGTCCAGTGGTAGAAAACTGGAAACTGGAGTTCTCGAATGAATGGTCATCCCTGGTAATCCCAGTGTTTGTAAACCAGACTGAGTTTCACAACGCAGCACTAAATCGATCCATTTCATGATTGAACAATACACGTTTCCAATTTATAGTCCCTCAAAGTTAAATTTGAAAAGGGGGAAAAGGAAGTGATCAGACATTAATATTTAATTTCCCCAAGGGGAATTTCATATATAAAAATAATCCTGACCAGTGATGTTAATCAGAATACCAAAAGAGAGAAAGATTTTGATATTTAGTATTTCCTTCAAAAAAAGAAAATAAAAATTGCCTTCAAGAGAAAAATCAGAACGTTGTAGGACTCCTTTACATTTATTTTATGGGTTAAATTTTTGTCTTTGAATTAAATATGGGTTAGGAAATGCAGGAAAAGAACTAAAATCCTTTCAGTGTTTATGACTTCTTAAAATGACACAGCTGCGTATACACATTTATAATGTTTCTTAATACTTATGAATTTCACTTTAAGTTTTGAATTTAATTTTTATGTCATAGTCTCTTTAATTCTTAGAAAACTGATTTCTAGTTGATTAGGCTTCCCAACTAAAACTGAATAGAATACATTATATAGGTATGATATTTATACACAAATTACATTTTTTACATTATACTAACTGCTAATTCTGAATCACTTGACAAAATATGATGCATTTTAACACGTGATCTAGTATTGCTTGGTAATATAATGAGCAAGGAACAAAGGGGGGTTCAGTTGACAAGGCTGATAACAAGACCCTTTCTACATCCAACGTGACCAAAACATAAGCTCATCTCAGTAGCAGTCTGCTTTTCCTTTTGTGAGCATAGTTTGAAACATATACACTAAAAACAGTATCAATTTTTACGTGGCTTTAGTGGGGGGGGTGGAGGGTCAGCATATCGTGTTAGCAATTTTCTGTGGAATCACATTAGAGCTTCATTGTGGTAGCCATATCACATTAAAATCTGTTTTTTGCTAAATGGCTTCCATTGTGTATTTGGTGAATCTGATATGGAAAATTGCTAATGCAATAGGAGGATCACATAAGCTTTCCTGACTGTAATGCTCAGCCACAATATTCAGGAAAAAGAGGCTCAAGGGGACTGGAGGGATTTCAGGGCTGGCTCTCCACAGCCTCTTAACAAGTCCTCAGCTCAAGTTCAACATTGACTTCTTGAAAAATGGACCGTTAAAACCTACTGTATGGGGGAAAATCCTTTTCAGATTTTATTTCAGAAGAGATCATGGGTTCAGTGAAAGATGTGTCATTTAATTAATATTTATTGACTGAGCACTATGCAGGGCACCACGGTTAGCATTAACGGAATGAAAAAGATAGATGAAACATGGTCTGTTCCTTCACAGATCTTGAAAGGATTGACTGAGGAAAAGAAATAAATTATCATATGAGTAACTTAATACAAGATGTGGCAAGAGCAGAAAATGCAAAGAGCCATAGGAGCTCAAAGGAGGACATGCCTGCAACCAGGGTCAGCAGAGGAAGTTCTGTGAAGGCAGCACCTGGACAGGGCCATAAAAGATGAGGACGATGTTGATAAATCTGAAGATCTGGTGAGGGGTGGGGATGCAGGAGAAGGCATTCTATGCCTTAGCAGGAGTAAAGGTGCAGAGGAGAGGACAGGAGAGCTATGCATGGGAAATTATAATTCATTATTTTAATTGCAGCATAAAATACGGACGGGGTGGGAAGATAAGCCTGGAAAAAAGGTCCAGGGTCAGCCTGCGGCTGACACCAAAGGAGAGCAGTATGTGGCGTTAAGGATGGTTTGGGGTGGAAGTGCCAGGATGCAGTCCACCGGCAAGATTAACACTCAGCTTTCAGGGGTATGACAGCTTCTAATGCTAACAGTCATCTTGAAATCTTAACAACTTTGGTTAGCACACATTTCTTAAGAGACACAATTTATAAGACTATTTATTTTAAAAGGTTAGTTTTCTGCCAAGGGATATTTGTTTATTTTTTGTTATACCCCTAGTCATGACATGGACATTCACTAGGTTAACAAAAAACATCACTAAAGTGTTCACACTGTTGTAACTATGTGTGAATTTACTGTTTGCTTTTTTTTTTCTTTAGAATAACTTTTCAACTCACTGGCAACTGTAACCAAGGAAATATAAAGCCAGAGGCCTAGAATTACAACTATTTGAAGAGATTCATGCTTTCAATGTACTGCTGTATTTACTGTTTCATTCTGGACACTTCCGTGTTTCCGAATTCCCCTCTAAATGCTAGAAACAATAAACAGAAAATCTGCACTAAGCTTCATTAGAGCTTTAAAATTTAATGTAGTATGTTTTGCAAATTAAAAAGAAAAAACTTCTTTATTTTCCTTAACCTGTACCTTTCCTTAAATCAGAACACATTCTGTGGATGAGTATTATTTCTGACACATTAAAGCAGAAAAAGATGAAATTGCTGTTTTATTTACTGCA